CAAACCAGTTGGTGGCGGTAAGACGCCCTTTCGTTTCGTGCCAACCGCCAATAAAGTCCCATAAAGAAGAAGAAGAACCAAACCGGATGTATTCTACTAACTGTCGTCATTTCCTTTAGATAGCAACAGAAATGTCGATTCATGGGGCCACGTTTTGAATCGGGTATGTTTTAAGGTCTTTATTAAGTATGCCGAAACGATTTTAAAGTGGTTTTGGGTGATTGAATTTACCGCCTAGCCGTAAAATATCGTCGTAACAGACGAGTTTATTTGGTGAGCTAACTTCAAATATCGCCTGACTTCCGACCCGCCAAAAGCCTCAGAGGTTCACCGAGAAAAGGACCATTTTGCCCAGAGAGAAGCGATGAGTGCTGGGTTCAACTTCGGCCAGCCTTCGGGCGGCTTCTCCTTCCCGGCCCAGAAGACCACCGCCTCGGCTCCAGCAGCAGCGGGAGGCGGCTTCAGCTTCGGGACGGCCGGCCAGGCTACCACCAACCCCACCGGCTCCTTCAGCTTTGGCACCCAACCTAAGAGCTCCGCCACCAGCACGGGCTTCTCTTTTGGCAACCAGACCACCGGGTTTGGCCTGGGTGCGACCCCTCAAACCACAGCGGCTACAACGCTAACTCTGGGCTCCCTGTTGGCTCCATCTTCGGGCGGAGGGTTCACCCTGGGCGGTGGATTGTCCTCTCAGACCACCGCTTCAGCTCCTGCAGGAGGAGGCTTCAGCTTTGGAGCCGCTCAGACTCAGGCTGCGGCTGCACCAACAGCTACACCTTCAGCAGCAACGACAGCAGCAGCCGGCAGTGCACCCTTTGGAGGGTTTAGTTTTGGGAGCAATAAAATCCAAGTGACCACCGCTGCAGCATCCACTGCTCCAGCTCCAGCAGCAGCAGGAGGAGGAGGAGGAGGAGGAGGGTTCAGCTTTGGTACCACCACAGCCTCCACCTCTACAGCTGCAACTACCCAGAGTGGAGCAGGATTCGGCTTTGGCATCAAACCGTCATCGACCCCAGCGCCCCCTGCATACACCCAGGCTGCCTCTTCAGCTCCTTCAGGTCCGTCTCTCTTTGCTTCACCCATCACCTCAGCTGCATCAGCCCCTGCAACAACTGCAGGCTTCATGCTGGGCTCGACTCCAGTTTCAATAGCAAGCACTGCAATACCAGCAGCAGCAGGAGGAGGTCTAAACTTCCCCCTTAAGCCCCTGGGCTCAGTTGCCAGCAGCACCGCTGCTGCTTCCTCTGCCACCACAGCTCCAGCTGCCACTACAGGACCTGCTGTGGGCTTCTCCCTCGGGGTCAAACCTTTGTCCAGCACCACTATGACGGCTACTACAACAGCCACAACCCTCACCACCGCCACAGCGCCTCCAGTGATGACCTACGCTCAGCTGGAGAGCCTGATAAACAAATGGAGCCTGGAGCTGGAGGACCAGGAGAGGCATTTCCTGCAGCAGGCCACTCAGGTGAACGCCTGGGACCGCATGCTGGTGGAGAACGGAGAAAAGATCACATCTCTGCACAAGGAGTTGGAGAAGGTGAAGCTGGATCAGCGGAGGCTGAACCAGGAGCTGGACTTTATCCTGTCACAGCAGAAGGAGCTGGAGGACGTGCTCTCCCCGCTGGAGGAGTCCGTGAAGGAGCAGAGCGGCACCATCTACATGCAGAACGCCGACGAGGAGCGCGAGCGGACATACAAGCTGGCCGAGAACGTGGACGCGCAGCTGAAGAGAATGTCACACGACCTGAAGGAGATTATCGAGCACCTGAACACGTCCAGCGGTCCCGCAGACACCAGTGACCCGGTGAGACAATACACCATCATCTTTAAAACCTGCTCTAAAGATGCTTCACTGCTGTAATTAACCCCATTCTCTTTTCTTTTTGTCTCTCCACAGCTTCAGCAGATTTGTAAAATCCTAAACGCCCACATGGATTCCCTGCAGTGGATCGACCAAAACTCCGTCCTCCTTCAGCGGAGGGTGGAGGAAGTGTCCAAACTGTGCGACACGCAGCGCAAGGAGCAGGAGAAAACCTTTCGCTTAACCTTTGACTGAAATAAATCGATCTGAATATGCATAGACGAAAGGCTACTTGTTGGGAATTCCTTACTTCTCTCTTGTCTCTACTGTCACTATAGTTCTGGTTTAGCCCTGCAGCTTTGGTTTGCATATAAATGAATATTTTTGATTCTTTAAGCTTTATAACCTACCAGCTCCTGGATGTTCTTCTGAATGTGTGGAAAATATTTGTAATATTTTTTTGAATTAGCCGATAAATAAAACTTGTGAAACTGGATGTGGCTTAATTATTATTATATTATATTGTTATTCTTGCAACCTTATTATTCACCAACAGAAGAAACCTGAGAGATCATAAACATACTTTTGAAGATCCTGCATTTGGTGTAAAACAATCCAGCACATATTTTACATGTTTTAATTAAAAATTTGATTTTAGAAGAAAACTAAAATATTCTCTTACAACTGCCATATTGGAAACTCACTTAAGGTTATGTTGTTTACTAATGATGCCGGTAATTTAATTATTTCCAAAAGGCTATAAAAAGGAATTAAAATGTGAAGAAACTTGTTAGACTTGAAGCCAAGCTGTGGGCTCGATCCTCAAGCTGTGAATAATGGTATTACAGTTGTCTGTGGTAGGCTTAATTTCCCTGCTCTTTATCTCATTACTGAGGATTTTCTTACCCCATGGGGTTAGAGAAGGAAGCAACTCCTTCAGATTAAAGGTCAGAGATTTGATCTTCCAATGTAAAAAGATGCCTATATTTCTGGTCAGTATGTATGCTTCAGAGATACAAATGTTGCATTAATTTAGAAATTTTCTTATTTTTCTGAACCTTTTTTCCTGGATGCATTAAAAACACAATACAAGCACACATATATGTAAAAAAAAATCTATCTATCTATATATATATATATGCACAAATTAGGGTTTAGTTAACTTGATGTGGCTGCATAATTCAGTTTTAGTCGGCAGAGACTAGAGTTCATTAAACATCTTGGTTTGAAATTATTTTTTTTTTAACTGCATAGATGAAAACAGTTTGATCCATGTTTGGGATTGTTTTGTTAGAACACTCGGCTGTGTCTGAAATGGGAGACATACATAACATGGGCACCGCTATGTTTCCAGTGGTGTATAAACTGGGAAATGCAGCAGCACCTGTGTCTACATCCACTAAGACGGAAGCATTAAGAGGATAGCTTCTAAAATAGAGCATTCTCCTAAAGCTGAGTCCTTCCAACAGTAGCTGAAATTTATCTGGAAAAATCAAACGCCTTTTAGAGAAAGATTTATGCTCAGATGAGACAAAGATTGTGGTGTTTTAGCTAGTTTGGCAGAAAAAAAACAGGAGGCAAGGTAAAGCTCTCTAAAGGGTATCATAGTTGCATATGAGCATGGCAGTGGCAGTGTCATGTTGTGGGGCTGCTGTGCTGTCAGCACTGAAGTGGATTGAATAATCCAATCTAAAATCAGCAGCTAGATGGCTCCAACTTGGATAAACAGGACAATGATGCCAAACATCTGAACTGGTTTTGGATCAATCCGTCTAAAATTAGGCTGTTGGAAATTTGAAGTTAGAATTTATAGGTCAGGTTTAAAGGGGTCAAAGAATGAAAAATCAAGTCTATCCTGTGATAGATGAATAACGATAGTTCAGTGGGTGAAATGGACATACAGAGAAGTTCAAACCCCATCGACACCTCCTTCCTCTGCAAATCTCACAATTCTACACTTCCACCATAAACGGCCGAATCCAAATGAAGCCCCGAATTGAGTCGGGGATGTTGCCTTATTTGGTACTGGCCTGTACTTTTGTCACGCCCCGAAATTGACATACAGACCAGCACACTGGTTCACTGGCCTTAGAACGTGAATAGAGGTAGATGTAAGACACTAGTTTAGCTGTTTGGCCAACAGTTGGGTTTACTTCTACAAGAATTAGAAAGCAGGCAGTTTCTCTATTGAAAATGAGCCAGAACCACAGGCGTAAATGCAGTGTTCCAGGCTGCACGGACAAGGGGGACATTTTTCACAGTCTATCCCAAGGATCCAAAGACTCAACAGGCATGGATTAGTTTTGTGTATCAGAAGATCCCTGCAAAGTTTGATGCTCAGCTGTTCATTTGCTCTAAGCATTTTACTAAAGAAAGCTTTCAAAATCTTGGACAGTTCAAAGAAGGATTTGCTAAACTTCTTTTACTGAAAAGAGGGGCTGTTCCGACCGTATGGCCTTCACAACCAGAACTGATGGCTCGGTTCTGCTGCACTGTATTCAACCAAAATCCCAGACGATTTTGAAATTCCTCCCGGACATTTTTTTTAGGTATGAAAAGTAGGACATGTCCGTCTGGTCACCCTACAATTTGATGTTTCAGTGAGTGAGAGCTTGTTGCTATGATGCGTCTTTGCTCAGCAGCTTCGCTCGTTGTAAACCAACCAATCAGCGCACAGCTCATCTAAATATACAGTACATGAGAATTCTATGAAAGAAGAAAACCTGTCGTTTCATTCTAGGGCTTTTAACCAGGCTCATAGAACAGCAAATATGTCATTTTCAGCCCAACCAATGTTACACACCTTATTCAGAGACCTTAAGGACCAGCACCAAATACCCTATAGAATCATTCTATGACCCCTTTAAGCCAGGAGAGTCAATTCATTTAAAATAGCAGACTGATTTTTCTGCTACTTTCCATAAGAAATTAACAAATATATGTTAAAAGGTGTATCAAGTTATCTCTGTACTCATTTTAGAAATTCCTATTTTGTCATACTTTTACTCACCTTTACAAGAACTAAAATAAAAAGAGGGTGGAGCATCAAGTATTGACTAAATGACACATATCAAATCAGTGATACATTTTTTACAGTATTGCTAACTTTAGAAAATTTACCCAGAAATAAGTGAGAACAGTATTTGTATCTTTATGGCAAAAAAAAAAATCTTTGTTTTTATTTTAGTTTTTTGTTCATTCGACAAACAAAAATTTACATTGTTTGACTTTTTACATCTTCCTTTTGCATTCCTCGCGTGAAACAAAAAGAAACGCCTCAGTGATGATCTACGGTCCAGTGGATGTTACCTGAACATCTCAACAGTGTGAGGCCCAGTTACATAAACCATGCTTATATTATTTATATTCTTAACCTGATACTGTACCTTAGATGTTTTAGAAAAGGAACAACTTGTGTCGAAACAGTCCCAAACTAAACTTATACAGTTAAAAAATCCAAGTTGGAGAAAGTGAGCTAGCTGTACCTTCTCCTCACATAAGGACAGTACAACTCCAGAAACAGCAGTAAACTTGTTCCACAAAGCTTTGATTGCAAGGCTGCTTTCATATAAAAAAAATAAATATAAAATGTGCAGAAACATTTAAATATATACAATATTGAAAAAAATAATACAGCATGTAAATCTATTGTCTTGAACCTTAATTTTTAAAAAGCACATTATACATCAGTGGCTCAAATTCATCATTATTTACAGAATCCCAGGTAAAGAAATAAAAACTAATAATCATGATTGTCAACCCATGTCGTCACCCACTGCTTCTTTTCAAAAGCATCCACTTCAGATTTTCCATCGTCATAACCTGGAGTTTCCTTTTTTATCCGCACTGCGTGGTAGCGAGGTACGCTGTCGTCATGTTTGGAGCGTTTGAAGAACCCACACTGGTTGGACAGAAGGGATTTAAACAAAAAATATTTAAAATTCATAAAGGAGAGGAGGACAGGCAGGTTAAGCATGCTTTGAAGCCTTTGCTTTAGAGGAAAAGGGTGCAGAAAAGCAGTCTGCAGAGAACAATGCTGTTATAAAACAAAATAAACTTGCAGATAATGATTTATGTAGGCTTTTTTTTAGAGACACATAGGGCAAAAATAAAGAAATATGCACAACATGCTGATTCTTTTATGCTGACTTTAGGTGGAAAGTTCTAAGTAAAACCCTCCAAATGACTTGCATCTTCAGCTCGATACAATATGTGTCTGATTGAATGTTTCTGCATTAGGTCAGCGGGTTTGGCTGGCAAAGCGAAGCTCGTTAGCAGCTGCAGTAATAATCACACTTCATGCCGACTTTACCCGCTGATCAGAGAGAGAATCAGGCCTCATCAGTGAGTTTTTCTTTTTCAGAGGCCTGAAGGTGGATCTCTGCCTTCTGATACGCAGCATTGTATTGTTCTAAAGTTGGTCTCTTGAAGAAACCGCACTGAGGAGGAACAAGGGTGGGCAGAGGTTAGGCGTGTCGTCATACACAGATTACTTTTTATAAATGCTTTATTGTAAACTCAGGTTTGACACTGTTGTTTCTTTCAGGCTTATTTTCAGTATCCAGCTCTTGCTATCATGTTCTCCTAGAGTTTGGTTTTCTTTTGTTTTTATCCTTTTCTTAACCCTCTTGCTGTATTTCATGCTTTTCTTTGTTAACCTTTGCCAATTAAGATCATGTCTTATTAGTGCTATTTGTCTTAGATTCATTTTTTTTCTTTCCCCCTTGGTTGATAGTTTCTTTTCTTCTCAGCTCGGCCATATTTCTGTTAATTAGTCTTTCTCTCTAAGCTTCCCAGCCTTCTTTCTGCCTTAGCTGCTTCATATTTTCCCTGATTGGTTCATTTGATACTTTTGTCATTTTCCACCACAGCCTTTCGTTGGTCTCTCACGTTTTCTCGTCCCCCTGTCCATCACACTGCTTATCCTCTTTTCTCTCCAATCGGCTGGAATGTGTTAGCCTCGGCAAGGCCAAGTCCCAGGATAGAATGGATTCTCAACTTACTTTTGAAAATCCCATTAAGCATCTGTTTAAAATCTGTTTCCTTCATCTTCGTAATATCTCCAAAATTCGTCCGTTTCTTTCTTTTTCTGATGCTGAGACTCTCGTTCATGCATTTGTCTCCTCCAGGTTAGACTACTGCAACTCTCTGTTTGTTGGAATCCATAAAAAACATCTTCAGAAGCTCCAATACATTCAAAACAGCGCAGCCAGGATTCTCTTGAGGGCCCGCAAATCTGCCCATATTACACCTATTCTGCATGACCTTCACTGGCTTCCCATCACCTGCAGAATTCAATACAAAATCGCGCTCATCACCCATCAGTGTTTAAACGGATCCTCACCGGATTATCTGAAGGACCTTCTCACTCCACATCCATCCACCAGATCTCTACGATCACAAGACTGCAACTTCCTTCACCTTCCTCGTTCCAGATTAAGGTCCATGGGAGATCGGGCCTTCGCTGTCGCTGCCCCCCGTCTCTGGAACTCTCTCCCAGATCATCTGAGAGCTCCACAACCACTGATTGATTTTAAAAGAGGCTTGAAGACTTTTTTATTTAAGCAAGCCTATTCTGCCTCCACATGATTTTTATGATGTTGATTTTTATCTTTGATTTTATTTGCACTGTGTAGCACTTTGAGATTTTTGTTAATGAAAAGTGTGGTACAAATTGGATTTATTATTATTATTATTATTATCCTAGCAGTGTGATGGACAGATAAGAAGGGAAACACAGATAAGAATGGAAACATAAAGACAAAAAATAAACAAACTCCTCGAGAACGTTATATCTACATTGACTTGTACTGTATTAATCCAAACGTACTAGTAAAATGGAAGCTACAAGTGAATAGGTGTTTTATTTCCAGACTGGGTGTATTTTCTTTGACTTTATTTTACAACCTAAAATGAATAGGAGTTTAAACTATTCTGAATTTAATGGAGGTTTTAACACATATTGCATTAGTTACTTGTTCCTATAAATCACTGAAATATTTTATACAAGCTAAGGTGCTCAGTAGTTACTGTGTCTTCACTGCTCCATCAGTCACATCCTTTTGAAACTAAAACCAAATTCATGCCTTATCTGTTATTAGCACAGTTTTATAAGATATACCACCTATTATTGTGATAATGGAAGAACATTTATTCCTGGTTTTCCAAATATTTTAGAGATAAATATTTTCTTATATCTGGTGTAGATATGTATCCCCACCCCTTTACTCTGATATCCCTAAGTAAAAAACAATGGGCACAGCTGCATTCACAGGAGTTATTGAAAATATAAACCCTGCAGGTATATGAAGGCCTCAGAGGTTTGTTCGAAAATATCAGTGAACAAACAGCATCGTGAAGATCAATGCGGACAGGTAAGGGAAAACGTTTTGCAGAGGTTTGAAGCAGGGTTAGGTTCTAAAACAATATCCCATCGCCTAACTGTTCAATTTGTCATTAAAAGAAATGTAATCAAAAATGACATGCAAACTTATGCACCTCATAAGTTTAGACTTTGTGGAAGAGTTTTAGGAATAATGCTGTGATCTATCCTAAAGCTATCCTAGTCAAACGGTCAGAGATAAAAGGTTTTGATGAAAGCATATTTGTGGTTAAATGGCCCATTATTTGTTTAGCTCAGTAGTTCTCAAACCTGCTCCTCTAGAACGACTGCTCTGCATGTTTTAGATCTCTCTGTTCTTGCACAACCTGATTCAAATGATTGCATGACCTCCTCAGCAGCCTTGAAGTGCTGCAGAAGTCTGTTAATCATTTTTTTTTTTACATGAGTCAAGTGTGTAGCAGTGAGGAGAAATCTAAAACATGCAGGGCAGTGGTACTTGAAGACCAGAACCGAGAACCACTAGATGACTTGATTATTATTTCATGTTACTAACCAGATGTAATCAATAAAATCAGGTTAATCTGTTATTAAGATATTTAATATAATGTAATGAATCTTTTGAACATTAAAGACGTTGAGGCTCAGTTATGCTTGACGGAAATGAGCATTAACATTTTTAATGTCTGGCTTCATTGCCGTCTGATGTGATCGGTGTGTTTGCATCTGGGTTGCCTTTTCTCTACAAACATGTACTCACCTTCCATAATAAAAACACCATCAAGGCTAAAATCAAGATCCCTGCCAGAACCGCTATCAGAATGATCCACCAGGGAACCCCGAACTGAGCCACGTCGCTGTCCGGCGACACAAGGACCCTGACCTGAGACACAATGTCGAAGCAGAAAAACTAGATGACACCAGGGTTACATCAGGACTGCTGGGGGTAAGAGTACATTCAGCTGATGAAGTGCGTACAGTGTGGGTAGGAGACCTCAGGATAATGTTCTGACTCTCAGAGTTAAGCACAAATGAAGCTTTCACTTCTAAAACTGTGGTTGGAAAAGAAGCATAGTCCTGTGTGAAAACAGAAATGAGAGCTTAGGTGATTAACGATAACATCCATCTTTACACTGATCAATACTAGATAGAATCTGTTGTGATAAAAACTAATTATTTTTTTTTTTTACCTCAATAAAGGTGGAGTTCCACAAACGGGATCTCAGTTGAACAGTAGCACCATCAATCCCCTGCAGGGGGCACTTTAGCACCACACATTTGTTTTCCCTTTCACAGGACTAAATAAAGAAAGAAAACATATAACACTTCATGTCTGCATCTTTATACTATAGCTTATTTTCATAAACTCACCAAAACTTTGCTATTTCTTGAAAGCAAAGCCATTTTGCGACCAACTGCTTTTTCATTCTCAGCAATGTCCCGTTTTTCCCGAGAACGAGAGCTCGCCTGAAAATAAAAAAAAATTTCATCATGTTAAATCAAGATAGAATAAAGCTGGAAGTATCTGCAGAAATATCTTTAAATTATTCTTTAACATCAGGTTCACAGAAACACCAACCCAGACGTGTTTAAGGGGGTGGATTTCAGAATCAGGAGAGCAGATGATGTTCTCAGGTCCATAGGATGTGACCTTCACCAGGTAAAGAAGCCATTTCCCATCTTTATTGTTTTTGGGCCATTGGATGTGTAGAGAAGCACTCCAAGGAGGGACTAAGGAACTCCACAAGTTGGTAATCTGGAGGATAAAATATGGATGGTACATCCAAAGCAGCATAATAATTACAATAATTAATGTTCTTAACAGTTGTATGACTAAACCCACCCTAAAGGTAAAGTTAACCAAGCTCCCAATGTCTTCTTCTCTTTTCATTGCAGTTTCTGCTTTTACAGCACCTCCAAAGGAAATCTGATCGGGTTTGGCTTCACTGTTGGAGCAAAGGAAGTTTTATTTTTCTAATGCAGCAATATGTCATCGCAATATGTTGACATAGCAGCTCTACAGAGAATCTGAATCCATGTACCTACCCACTCAGTGTCAAAGGGAATTCAGTTATCACTTTACACCTAACTTTTACAGGTGGGATATCTTGAAAACTGGTCCTAAAGGATAAGAAGACAATCTAAATAAAGATATTTATAGACATACATACAGTAATAAGAGACAGATATGTTGTATTTTACTGTATTTTAATGACTATGTTGGGAGAAAATATAGTTAAAAACAACAACAAACTGCTTATTACAGGTAACGACAAAAAATTAATTAGCTGCCTGGAAACTGACAAATAAGATACTTTCTAATATAACAGAGCTTACACATATGTAAGCTCTACCCTTTCATTTCAAACGGCTGCTATTTTAAAATTGAATTAAAAGAAAGGCAGAAATGTCAGAAGCTATAGAATGGAAATAATTTTCAGATCAACACATCTGTGGTTTATTCAGACTAATATAAAGAGCAGGACTCAATATTTAATCCATGTTATTGACAAAAAACAATTTGCAAATCGTTTTTCATCAAAAATGTAATACGTATGTCATAATAGGGTCTCCAAGTACAGTAATACCCAAATCTACACACTAGTATTTGAGTTAGCCCAGCCACACTATTGTACTCATCTTCAAGAAAATATATTAATCTAAAATGTTGAATCTGTAATTGTTTTGTTTTAGATTAATAAACCTCTATTTTACACCATCTGATATTGCATACCGATATCAAATGCAATTTAAATGTATCAGATGATTGTAATCTATCGTTAATGTAAAGAGAAAGTTAAAAATGATGATTTCTTGTATATAAGAAAAAAAAGCTATTCACAGCAAGCTAACCCTTGGTGGAAACAGTGATCGCCTTATCAATCAGTAACTGGTTATGTTGCTCTTGGCATTAATCACTCCCACTTTGTGTTTTATTTTACTTTAGAGAATATTTTGCATTCCACTAAGTGTAGAACTTTGGCCATCTACTCCTTAAGGAGCTGCTCTAACTAAAACACAATGGAGGATTGTCGAACATGAACATGTTTAACAATTTATGTCAACCAACAGCATCTGAATTAGATTTAAAATTTAAAGAAAATTATAAAAAACAAACGAGTTTCATAGGTGGAGCTGGTGATGTACGTCGGATAATTTAAAGAAGTGTGAGTCATCCATCTAGAGAACGCACCTCTACAGCTCTAGATTCCAGTGACTGCGTGCTTCATATCACTGGATCTGATGCTTTACGTTACACTTGGTTACTATTCATTCAATGCAGCTAATCAGCCATAGTAAACTCATTCTATAAAGCTCTCTATGCACTGTTTAGAGCTAATCTTAAGACCACATGACATTTTGACGTCTGTCAGCAAAGCAAAAAAAAACAAAAACCTGGGCATGCAGTAATTGGATGTGTTGCAGATGATCTACAAAGGCTCTGTTTTCAACTAAGACCAAGAAACTGGATTGATTCTGCCCCATTAAAACAGGCTCATTGCATGCTACTAGCAGTTTGATAGTGACTGTTATAAAGATCAAGTTCTAAGCCATGGAGATGGAGGTAATCATAATGATAACAAAAATACATAAAAACAAAAATACAAAAAAACAAAAATATAATAAACATAACAAAATTAAATAAATGTAAAAATCAATAATAAAACCTGGAAAACACTCTATCCCCAGATTAAGCCCATAACAGCTGGAAGTACAGCTGGATTTAAACAACATTGAGACGGCAAAAAAAATTTAAATAATAATAAAATAAAATTCCTTTACGCTAAGTACTCAACATGTTTTTTCAATAACCACAATAATTCAGTTAAGTTTAGTCATGGTGTTACTTCTTTAGGTTTAACCACACAGTATTGCTTCCTGTCGCAGTCATATGTGCCAGCCTGTGCAGATGTCTTTCTCCATACTAATATTCCATTGATATTATTGACAGTAAAAATATGTTAACATCAAAGACAAAAATGTTTTATCGCTGCACCAATTTTTGTGAAATTGAATTGCAGAGAATTCCCCTGACTTTCAAACGTGCAAAAACTGTGCCCACAACTTTCATGTTTGATAAATCGCTTTGTAGGTAGCTAAGTATCCTCCCCCTTTAAATTTGCTTAGTTTGGACATTAGAATATGATCTGTACATTAATAAAGACACACACAAAAATAAATTTTTCAGGTGTAAACTACTTTGCATCTTGTATGAAACAAGTTTACACATGTTTCAAACCTTTTAAACATCAGGCCCTCTGTGAGTGTCAGCACACAGAGGGCCCCACATTGTCAAGTTGCTTTACCTACTATTTCCTGAGTTTTTGTTGTTCCAAATCACTTTCACACTCCTATAACTGACCACTGACAGTTGATATACAATATTAACTTACATCCTAAAAGAAAGGTAAAAAGGGGCTGAGAAAGTCCACTTCCTTTGTCCACTGTTTAATTGTTTTTACATTTATTTCACACAAGTACATAACTTAAGCACCAAAGCAATCAAAGTATTTTCTTAGTTAATTTATCGAGAATTTACTTCCTTTAAGATGAAAAAAGGTGGCAAATGTCAGAGATATGAATTTTGGTTCATCTTCTTTTCTTCAATGAGTTTATTGTTTGACATGACAGCTCCTGAGATAAAGGAAATGTGCTGTCAAAAAATACGCATTTATGTTTATATAATTCCTACATCAGATTAAAAAGTTATTAAAGATTCACTGTTTATTTATTTTTCTTAATCTCAATAAAATCTGGAATTTTACTGATATTTATGATCATGACGCAATGTCATGCAATAATTCAATAGTTTTATATCTAAGAGGTGGTGATTTTTTTTTTACTATTTCTAAATATTGAATTGGTGGCAATAGTCAGAGCATTCCTCTTTTTCAGGTCTGTTAATATAGTTAATTACAATGACTTACGTTTGGAGCTGCAGGTCAATCTCAATCTCAGTGGTGTCGAGAGTTAGACGCGTTGTACCGATGATGATGTGGAAGGTCACCTTGTGAATTTAATTAAAAAAACATCTCACTATATCGTAGCTCTAGCTAACCTTTTAAGCAACTCTTATCAGTTACAGAGATTTACCTTTGAGTTTGTCTTAAATGGGTTTCCCAGCTCACACTCGGCTTCAGATCCATTATGGTTGGCAACACAGATGATATGCTTGTTTGGCTAAAAAAGAGCAATTTTATAGTTGAAACTTTGAGATAAACCTCCCATTCTAGCAGGTTTGGACATAGCTTACGGAATACCTAGGCTATTCATGACATAAAAATATTTATATTTAAACAAATTTGGTGATTTCTACACACCAAAATACTCACAGTTGTAACTCGAACACCAGAGTAGGACAGGGAGTCTGGGAACTTTGCCATGAGCTTTGCCTCGTAGGCGTCGTCAGCCTTTTTATTAGTCACAGTCACCTCCAAGGCCAAGTCCTTCTTCTCGTATGACCGGACGAACTCAAGGACATTCTGTGGACTTTAGAGACACACAAACATAAATAAAGAGCTACAAGGAGACATAACATGCAAACAAAACTGTCTGGATTTTTTTTTTTTTAATAAAACATAACATATTCATACTCAAAAAGTTGTATGATGTAAAAAAACCCGACTTTTTAATGTTTTAGCTAATCAAGGAAAAAAATGTTTACTGCAGTAAATAAAGCTACAATCTGTTTCTTAATTCTAACGGAAGGACTATATTAATAATTGTTAAGCATAAAAATATTTGATAATTTTTTGAAAATTCATTTTGAACAGTTCTGAATCTGTATTGTAACCTTTTTTTTAGTGGGAAGTAACGATCCTGGTTGATTTCTTTGAAGTGCAGACTGTAGTCCATTTTCAGGTTGCTTTTACAAATATTAGATTTACATCCCTGCTTCACAAAGATTACCTGCAAAAATAAACCAAAAAAAAAGATGTTACTAAAAAAAAAAAAAAAAAAAAAGAAAAAAGCACAATGACCAGAAAAACAGTTCTTATTATTTTAAGTTTTTTTTAAACCTTGTCACATTACAACCGTAAGCTGAAATGTATTCTATGGTATTTTATTCACAAGACCAATAAAAGTATAAAAATAAGAACTCGAACAACAACAATGCATAGTTTTTTTTTTATATTTTACCAATCTAAATTAAAAAATCTAAAAAGTGCAGAGTAAATTTGTATTCAAGCCGCATTAAAAATATTTTATATAACCATCTTTTAATGAAAATAAATCGGTGAGAAGTTGCAGGAAGCACTGAATAGATAAAACCTGTGAACAGTTTTTTAAGTCTTGTCCTGGTTTTTTAATTTTATTACCTAATCCATTAAAATGACGCTCCGACTGTGTGTTTAGGGTTATTTAATTGCTGCCCAAGTCTTACAGTACGTCTCCTGCTGCCTCTAACAAGTTCTCCTCCATGACTGGTCTGTGTTCAGCTCCATCCATATTCCCATCAGTTCTGACCAGCTGACCTGTTTGTTTTCTAGAAAAGCATCCCCACAGCAGGATATTACCATTAACAGGTTTTCTAAATAGAGTTTTGCTTGTGGGACCAAAACTTCAACTTTGGTCTCAGAGTACCTAACTCCACATGTTTCTTACTTTGTTACAAACTGCAAACCAGATTTATCACTGCTCTTTCTTTTTTTTCTCTGCAACTCTCCCATAGAAACTGTGCATCTCTGCAGCTCCTTCAGTGTCACTGTGGGGCCCAATAAAAAATAAATCCCACTGCTTTGTTTAATTAAAGCACAACATTTAGTTTACTGTTAAGCAGGTAAAATGTTTTCTCTTTAACACACAAATATCTATATTTTTGTTGCAGATGGGCAAACAGTGCTTATTGGGATGTTTAAAACCTAAAACTGTCTTTAATCCTATTTTTTTCTGATTTCTTGGCTCTATATTATATATATCAACTAAACACTTCATGCTACACATAGATCAATGCAGAAATTAGATTAAACACTGGTAGACTTCATTTGCTAGAAGTTCAGTGCTGATCTATCATATAAAATCCCGATAAACTCATTTAAAGTTTGATGTGGTAACATGATTAACGTAATTATTTTATGAAACATTTTAAAAAACTGAAATGTATTCTGTACCTTTGCAACAGCTTTGCTTGGCTGGGTGGCGTCTATAATTGGCTTTAAGTCAGGAAGGTCATTTTGTAATTTACTTTGTTCTACTTGATCAAGTTCTGCAGAAGCTTCGATGACAATGTCGCGCATCTTGTCTTTAATATTGTCCTGTGCAAATCAGACAGAAAAAAGGTTCAACTTAATGGGTTTCCGAGCTGACTCAACTTTACCGAGTAAATTTCACTGTTTAAACTCATTAATCAGCAGCAAGGATAAAACACAAAAAGAATCTTTCTTTTAGAACAGTATACTTTAAATGATTATATATATGAAGGGTTCAAGCTAATTCAAATGAGTGGGAAAACCTGATTACCTTTAGCGTGACATTTAGGAAGGTACAGCTTTTTTTCCCTCGACCCCTGAGCTCTAACGTGTCAGTGAACTGGATGTCTGATTCACTATGAGACTTTTTCAAAAATATCGCTCTGGAGTTCAGTCCTTGTTTCCTGCGATCTACATCTAAATCTATAGAATAACGGATACCTGCAAAATAGAAGAAAATCACATTTTATTGAGAACTCAAAAACATCTGCGTACCAAACGTTTTTCAAATGTTTTTTTTTGTTCATACGCACTGAGCCGCTGGTTGTAGGATGTAGGAGTTTTGTAGCTGAAGCATACACTCACAGTGAAGCTATTGATTAAAAAAAAACAAAAAAAACATTAACAAACAGATCATCATCTCTGCAGAGTCTGATTGAGTATAAGAGCACATGATGACCTACCAGACATTGTTTTTACAAACAAAACGCGGGTCAATTTCCTCTGGAGATACTGTAACATTTTTCATAATTTTCACAACCGGCCTTGCTCTGAAGAAGGATGTTAAATCCATTAATGAAACACAAAGGTAAATTTTTTCTTGTCTTTACATGTTAGTCATGAATACCTGTAAATTAAAGCTGAATCTGACAGAGATCCTACAGCCAGGTCTGGATATAAGTTACCATCCAGGTCCATGTTTCCTGCCAGGGAAAATCCAAAGAATTGCATGCGGTGCTCTTTACCTGAGAGAATCTGTCAGGACAAAGATTAGAAGGTTTAATATATAATATGGAGACTTTCAACCAGGATGGAGATCCTGCCAGCATAGATACCAGTTGTTGCAGATCACTGAATAATCAAATGCAGTAGTAAAGCAAAGAGGGAGTAGTTACTTCCACTCAAATTTAAACTGGCCATACATCTGCATGTGGAGTCTTTTATGCTCAATACAGCAACAGAGAATGAGAAGTAAATAAAACCCAAAGATATAATATTCTAAAGCTAAAGAATTCCTTCAGATTTTCACTTGATTTGGACATCAAAAATTGTATGTAGGTTAAAAACAAACAAGCGAAAAGTTTTAATTCAAACCTCTTGAGCTGAAACTAATTGTGTTTAATCACTAGAACCAACTCAATGAGCAAATATAAAACAAAGAACAAAACAAAAGGCCATAACCAACCTGTGCAGGGCTCGTTTTAATTCCTTGTGCAGATCCATGATAAACGTAGACTTTTCCTGCCCCCTCATCATCCTGTGGAGCTCCGGCTGCAAAATCTGTACAGTTTTTAAAAAATAAAGTTATAAACTCTAGCTGTGAAGGCTCTGGGTTTATCCATCCTTTCGTTGATTCTTGCCCCAATTTCTCAACAACATGCTGCCCTTTTTCTTATCCCACTTCTATCTTTGTATGGAGCATTGACATTTTGTTTTATGACAGGCAGAAACCTTTGTGTGCTTTACCGGGATGTGAACTGATAGACCAACACAATGCAGCAAATAGTTTTACATTTCTCAACTTCAAAACAATGGTTTATAAATTATTTTTAGATGCAAAAATCTGAAAGGTATTCTCTGGATTCTAACCCCAGAGTTGTGGGTGGAAAAGACAGTAAGAGATGCTGCCAATCTGAAGAAGCAATCCTATCTAACTTAGTTGGCTTTGGGAGCTCCTGAGGCAGCAATCAGGCACTGTGTGGCAAAGCGTGCTGCTGCCTGTTAGGCTGCAATGAAAAAACATTTTCAGACTTCGGTTAGGCCATGGAGAGAGAACATTGGTCAGCCTCAGAGCCAGTCTGACAACGTGGGCACTGCATCTGGGGGGAGGGCTGTGGTTCACTAATACACTGTGGGAGTAGGAAACTTCTGACCTTGAATGAGGATATTATTGGAAGGTGAAAGGAATATTTTGACTATATATTAGCCCGGGTATCACCCCTTCCCTGGAGGAAGCATAGAGCTGGTACCTGGAGTTGGACTTGCTTATCACCCAGGCTGAGATCACTGAGGTGGTCAAAAAGGCTTTAGGGGTGGATGAGATCTGATCTAAGTAGCTCAGATCTCTGGATGTACTTGGGCTTTTGTGGTTGACTCAACAGCTCATAATAACTGGGGACAGTACCCTTGGAATGGCAAAGTGGGGTTACAATTTTAGGAGGAACACACTTTCAGGCGTCCTAGGGAAGGTCTATACCAGGGTTCGGGAGAGGAGAATCTGATTGTTGAATGTCGGCTTCAGGAGAAGCAGTGTGTGTTTTGTTCCAGCTGTTGAACATTGGGCCAGCTCTGCACCCTCTACAGGTTGCTTGAGTGTTAATAGGAGTTTACTCAACCAGTCCACATATGCTTTGTGTACCTCAAGAAGGCATTCAACTGTGTCCCTCATAGTCCCCTCTGAGAGGAAGTCTGGGAATACAGAGTCTGCTGCATTTTCCTAGGGAACCTCGGGTCTGTGTACAACAGAGCAGGAGTTTGGTCTGCTTTACTGGCATTAAACTGCACCTGTTCCCAGCGCATGTTGGATTCTGGCAGGGCTGCCCCTTTGTCACTGGTCCAGAATATAACTTTTATATACCAACTTTCTAGATGCAGCCATGGGAAGGAGGGGGTCTGCCAATAACAATATTGCCAGGTCTGCATCAGTTTTGCAAAACACACTTTTACACAAGCCCTGTTCCAGTCCAATCTGATTCACATTTTTATCTTCTCTTCTTTTTTGTGTTTTTGTTGGCTTTAAATATTCTTTATTTCAAACAGGAAAAAAATAATATAAAAGACAACCCATACACATATGTACATATGCTTACATATGCAGCAGATAAAGAAATAAACTTAATTTATATCAGCATAAATCATACAACAAATATTTTGTAAACAAATCTCAAGATCTTTCATAAACTACCTATGGGAGCAGGAAGAAGCAATAGCTTATTCAGTCCTGTCCTTATATCATTATAAAAGTACTTTATTTAAACTAGTTAAATTAGAACCCATACATGCATAAGTGTATGTATGCACAGACAAACATGCATGTAAACTGTCATAATTCATCAGTGTTCTACAATTACCTGAGAGTAATAGCAAGGGGTGTGGCCTTACATTTGGCTGCAGTAAAGCTGTTCTGCAAGAATAGAGCAGTGAGATTGCCACAGAGTCAGTGGCACTGAAAGCTCCAAGTGTGGTTTTCCAGCCAGACAAAGTAGGGGGAGATGACAGATACCCACAATCCTCTCATAAACTCTTAGATTACAATCATAGGACTTTATATTAGCCTATTTAATTTAAGGATATATTAAGTTTAAAATGTTACTTAGTGCTGCTTTAACTAGTATGTATTTTCTTTTGAACCTGAGTTAATGTAGAGTTCTGGAAAGAATTCTTAATAAGCAGCATGGCAAGTTAGGATTTATTTTTCTTTTCTATCACAATCACAGGGGACTTTCTCAACTTTGACTAACTTGAAAATATAATGTGGGGCAAACAATCATTTGATGCAACCATTGCAGAGAGCTTTCCATCATAAACATGTGTCATATTTGTGCTTTTATGTTCAACTGATGCAATATCAAGAATATCAAGGGATTATAGAAAGAAATGCACAACCCGGAGTCAGAAAGCGTGGTCTTTGTCACAGGTCATGAGATCATGCAACAGGATAACGACCCAAAACACACAGCTGAAAACACCAAAGAATGGCTAACAGGAAAACATTGGACTATTGTGCAGTGGCCATCTATGAGCACTAACCAAATCCTGTTGAGTATCTTTGCAAGGAGCTAAAACATGCAGTCTCTAAAAGGCTCCCTTGAAACCTGAGAAAAGTGGAGCAGTTTGCTTATGAGAAGTAAACCAGAATACCTGCTGAGAGCAGCAGAAGTCTCATTGACAGATACAGGAATCATTTGATTGCAGGGATTGCCTCAGAAGATGTACAACAAAATAGTAATCTAAGGGTTCCGTCATGTTGTCCAGGTCTATTTGATGAGCTTTTAAAGTAATTTTGTTGAAATGTGGCTGACAAGCAAGGTCTGACTTTTATTTGTTATGTTTTTTAGAATTTTTATGTATCATTACTTTGGTCAGATCCAAAATATTTATGTGACCATTGTGTTTTTCTTTCTGTAAACAAGGGGTTTCAAAAATGGCGTCCAAGTGGGTATAAGTAGTGAACAGATTTCTCTTTTTTTGTTTGCATTAGTGTACACACACACAAAAAAAAAAAAGTAGGAACAATGAATCCTTCACAGCACACTAAGTTCAATGCTCCCCGTTTTGTACCTACAGAGTAAAATTTCTGGATGCGCCACCGTTCCTATATTACAGGCTATGTGGTGAATAACTTCGAAAATTGGTTACCAGAGCAGGTAGGAAATGTCTGAAAAATGTTACCAAGGCAGATATATTACCATTAAATGAGTCCTTATTTACGTCTCCAATGTTTTCCACTGCCAGCCCGAACATTGAATCCTTGGTTCCATCTAGGCGGGTTGGAGTGACATTGTCCCAGTGTCCTGCTTTGTTTATATAAACATAAACAGCTCCACCAATGTCTTTGCTCTTCATGTAGAAGTGAGGGGCTCCCACGACAATGTCCTGCCATCTAAATCATGAACAACACATGTTACCTTTCACTATCCTCTAATAAATATGTTTATCTCTATTATACAGATTTTTTTTAGCCAGTGTTTGAACCCTTTTGATAGCCTCTGTATTCTACTTAAATTAACAAAAAATACATTGTAGGGGATCCCAAGCATCAAACTAAAGATGTAAAATTTGTTGAAGGCTACTGTAGTTGTGAAAAACATCAGCGTTTACAAGATAAAAAGATAAGATAATCTAGAGGGATAACAGTATATTGTTTTGTCACTTCAATGATAATATCTCATTGGATTAATGTCTCCTACCCGTCACCATTCAGGTCGACCACAGCCACATCGTATCCAAATGACGACCCCAGTCCAGGACCATACAGAACCTGCTCAACCACAAGTTGTGAAGCGTCCTTCTTCATCAGGGCTACTATTCCTTTGTGCAACGCTCTCGGTGCTCCAGCCACCACAGTCAGGTTGCGGCTCTTCATGATGTGGTGACCCGTGTCCAGAGAGAACCCTTGAGGTCAATAAAGTATAATAAATGAAAACTATTTATAATGAGGATGTTAGAAGAAGTGAGCATCCTCTTCAGAAGATCATTAAACAAAAACAGTGTGTCTGGCAACCTATACTTTCATAGTATTCTAAGTGGACATTGTTACCGTTTCATGTGATTTTAAAAACAGCAAGACAATTGCCAGCATGAGGATCACTGCTTTTTCCTGGGTCCCAAAATTCACCACCACACAGAAATAACACGTCTTTACTTTTAAGAAAAAAAAGGCCTGCATGGGTTTAGATTTTCTGCTACTGGTTTGTTCCTTTATGCAGTAGAAGATGCTAAAAATATCAGCAAAGACACTATTTGATGCACCATCAGAAGTGTGTGTTTGAATTTAAAAGTATAATAAGCACATCCTCATAACTTTCCACACACAGAAGAATGAACTACATGAGGTGAATCTACTGTACTGCACACTATATGAATTAGGCTATCCGTCACAAAAGAGACTTGGAAAAGGTGGACTACTGTTTTCATTTTTTGATACAAGATTTGCTTTTGATAAGATATAACTCTAGGAATAACAGAATAACAAAAAATATATATAAAAAAAAAATTTTTTTTTTTTTTAAGTCAAAGTACTTTCATGAAGTACTCGATATTTAATCCCAAGTATCCAGCAATGAAGGCAAAGACTTAGACTACTGTACTATAGAGGCACTGTTTATAAACCTACAAACTATGATATCTGCAAATGTTACCTTATACGTTTCCCCTAGTTATTTCAGATTAAAACTTTTTCATTTATAAAGGATAACAAGTAACTCCATCAATTGTGAGGTTAGGAAATGTTTATTTTATCGATTAATCTGTGATCTACCTAATTGTCTTATGAAGAAAACTGCAGACCTGCATCTATCTTGATTAGTTATGTCTGGCTTAAGGTCGCTGCACCAGTGGAGTCTGGCTTTTCCTTTGTGGAATGGATGAATCCAGAATGCACTCCTCATGTCAAGTCATGTCTGGCTTTATCTCTTATTTAAATTAGAATGAACTCAGCTTTTGTGAAATAGGGGACAGGTCTCAAGTCTCTCACTGACACAATAACATCTGCTTTTGTCTTTTACCTCCTCCTCTTTTTTGTTTTCCACTGCAGCAACTTAAAGATTACACCATTCGAAAGCGTACATGTCACTGAATAGACAAGTTGCCTGTTCAGCAGGAATTGTTAATCACAAACGAAAAACATTAAATTTTTTTCAATAACATTTGTCGAATGTTCACATTAATCTGTCAAAATGTTATAGGCAAAAAGGCTTTCTGGTTAGGAGCATAACTTGTTTTACTTGCAGCAAAATGATCTTTGAATAAAAACCAGGCTCAATGGAGCTTCTGTCTTTAACAACATAAAGGTCCTTGGTTCAAACTCTAATCGGGCTGTTCCTACGTGGAGTTTACTTGTTCTCAGCATCCATGTGTGGGCTGTTTTAGTCACTATTATTCGTCTCAAAGTCTTAAAACCTTCGAGGTAGGACTGGGCGGATTTGCCTTCTATGTTAATTGCAATTTTCTTTGACCTGCTTTTAAGGTTTAATTGCAAATTTCCTTAACACCAACCACAAGTTTATTCATGTTTGGCTCTATCGTTTCATTGTTTTGATCTTCTTGAAATCTCTCCTGTGAAGAGTTCATTGTATTGAGACTTTGCTGTTGAGTTAAAGGCATGACTTGTACCTTACATGCATGGATCTGCCCAATCGCTGCAACTCTGTCTTACCTTCTGTGTGGCGGCAAACCCATGATAAGCGTATTACCATCACTTAAAGGCCTGGAGTGAGAATGTCAGTGTCCTACTTTCGGTACATGTAATGTGACCATAAATCAAGTGACTGTGAATTGGAAAATATGTGGGGTTTTCATTATTTTGCAGTTTTTTATGATATTGAATATGCACCTAACTATTCAGTCATACTTAGAGGACTTGCAAAATCAACTGTACTGCCATATGACAAGAATATTTTACCTCAGGTTCCAGATTTAATAGCTACAAAACGGTGCCGCAAAAGGTTTTAAAATAAACAAACAAATATTAGTAGGTAATGTACATGTTTTGATTATGTAAACTAGTTTGCTATTGTGATACTGAGTCATTCCTCCCTTCTTTTTTGCAGGTTACCATTTCTATAATCCTCATAGATAACAAAAAGTTAGCTCAGTTACACATTCACGGTATTGTCGACCTCTTAAAGATCTTGGGGATTCAGATCTGGTGATTGAGGAGGTAATTGAAGTAAAGTGACATTATTGTCATGTTTATGAATTCAGCTTCAAATGATCTGATCTTTCTAACACGGTGCATTATCCTGCTGGCAGTGGTTAGCTGAAGTACAGTAAGATCCTAAAGCCATAGGTAGGTTATGCACAGTAGCAATGCTCTGATCGGCTGTGTTGTTTTATGATGCTCACTTGGTACTAAGAGGCTCAGAGTAAACCATGATAATGTCTGATTTTCTTATAGAGCAAAGCTTCCCTCCTTACATACCTGCCAACAAAGTCAAATGTGTGCATCTTAGTAAAACCTTTATGGGATCATATACACGTGTTGCCTGGTATTACTTCTAATTTATTATATTTTTCCTATAGGATGCATGTCATTCTAAACAATGGGCTAAAAGGTTTGTTATAATATATTTTTATACAATTCTGCTAAGACATTTTTACCCGCTGAAAGTTGGAAACTAACATTACAAAGCAGGCCAATCGATACACAAACACAGACATATACAGCATGGTTTGTTATTGGATAACTCACCAAGGTAGCTGTTGGCTGATATATTTATATTTTCCTTAGTCTCATATGGGCCATCATTATATATCTCCCTCTCAATCAGAGTCATGTTTTGTTGCGCCACTTGCACGATCCCTGAAGAGAATTTCAGAGACCAAGGCAGAGGGTTTTGATCCAACAACACTGTTTGCAAAGAGCTGGAGTTCATTTGATAAGATAAATGCTGCCATATAATATATATAATAATTGTGACCTTTCCAGTTGTAAGCTCCTGGGGCTCCAAACACCACATAATGGTAGTCATTGGTGAAGGTGGTTTCCACACCCTGCTGACAGACTCCAAGGGATGTATGGTCAGGTCGTCCCCTGCCCTCACAGATTTTCCAGTCACCACCGTCCATATCAGCGGACTTGTTAATGGTCAAATCCTGACTAAAAAAGTAACATCGCCCTAGGACAGAATGGGATCCTGCGAGGCGCTTTTGATATCGGTGAGCACATGTCTGAAATAGCATAATCCAGTTTTTTACTATACAGAGAAAAAAGACACAAAGAACATTGGTAGTAAAAACATCTATTGTGACGTACCACAACCTTTCCCCCAGGTCCCTGACTCTGCACAGACACACCCATCCATTGGTCTTCTTTAATCTCTTGTGCTGGGTCCTCTTTGAATTGAGAAAAGATTTACAAATGGCATTATTTATACTGGTAGATAGGATGCTAGGTTAGCAGGCAAGTGGAATGACTCACCATCGTTATCGAATTCGACACGTTCACAGTTTTTGGACTTGCTGACATCACATTTGAAAAGGCCTCCAGTAATATTGGACTTTTGGTTTTTTAAAGCTCTGGCTCTGGGGGAACCGATCAACAACCTGAGAAAAAAACAAAAAGAGACAATTACATTGTCCTGTTTGTTATTTTCTAATATCATAATACTGCACTTAGTTTCCCTCAGAGGTGACACTTCTTATCAGGTATCAAATAACTATGAGAGATATAGCCCACTGACTAAATGCAAACAAGACTCTCGAAGCAGAGGGTCTCTGTGGTGCCAAACAGTAACCTCAGAAAGAGACAGCATCTCCTGACTCCAAGAGCACCTGAGCCAAAGATGGTCCAGAAGCATCCAGTTTGTAAAACTACACAAACCTGTGAGGTGAAGCCCAGCAGGCTGCAGTGCAAATACCCCACTAAAAGAGGGCCTAAGAGGTAAACCCTCCTCCAGTACAATATGCACTCAACCCTTGGGGAGGATGAAAACCTATGCAGCTGTAAGAGAGATGGCTTCTGCAATTCAGTGAGACAGCCTCTGACGAGACACGGGCTTTCCATTTTATGTGATCACCCATGACACAAATAGCTTGGCCCAGCCGACCTAGCACCTTATGTGGGCAGAACACTTGACCTCTTCAGAGAAAAGAGGTGGAGGATGGAAAGCCATAAGCTCAAAGGTAGGGCAACTATGGGCAGAATCCACCACCTTCGCCACAAACGCCAGGTTAGGGCACAGGCAGGCTTCAGAAAGCCCAGGAGCAAACTGTAAGCATAAAGAGCTTACAGACAAAGCCTGAAGCTTACTGATGTATTTTGCCATGGTCAGGGCAAGAAGCAAAGCCATCTTTAATGAGACTAACTTCAAATAGGGGGCTTCCAGGTGCTCAAATATGTAATGACAAAGCACCTCCATCACAACTGATAAATTCCAAAGTGGAACCAGGGATCTGGCAACAAGCAGCTGACGGCATGCCCCCTTCATGAAAACACTCACTAGTGGGTATTGCCTTACTAAGTTGTCTCCAAAACAAGGCAGGCAGAAATGGTTGCGAGATACACCTTCATAGTTAAGAAAACTTGTCAAGAACTTGTCAACTAACTCCTAGCAGGAAGCAAACATGACTCCAACACACAAATGCTGTATTATGTCCTGTGGCCAAAGCTTGGATTACAAACACAGAGCTATCAGGATAACTGAGAGACCATGTTCCCTCACTCAAGGCAGGGTGGGTAAAATCAGGCTGGAAATACATACAGTAGAGCATCTGGCCATGGATGTACGTGCAGCTGAGAGATGCGTCTTTGTCTTTCAGGGAGAACAATCTCGGACATTGCGTGATTTTGTAATGATCGGGCCCTGATAGCTCACCTTAATTGTTCATTTCTCTCACCTGCCTAACTCTGCTCAGTTTTCTAATTATCACTCATCTCATCCACCTGCGTCTGTTGCTTTATATTCGGTTTAGCCCAAGCCATTGGGGACAGATAATTGTTTTGGGTCTTGTGCTCTGTTTGGTCATTTTTGGTTTAGTTCTAAGGTTCGTGTCCTGCTTCCTGGCGGCCAGTGGATTGAGAGGGTTTTTGTATCCGTCTTGTCTTCTGATGGTGTCCTGGTCCTTCTCCGTGGAGCCCTCAGGGTTTTGGTTTCGGAAGAAGATCAGTTTTATTCCCATAAGCCTGGCTCCAAGGAGGATACCAGTATCAAGTCCTGCTGAAATCCTAATACAACGTCTTGTCTCTGTTCCCTCAAACACTGAGCCTGCTCATCTGCATCTGAGCCTGCCTGTTTGCATCTGTGCTTCTCCGTGGGGGCACACTTCTGGACACGTCTGACTTTGGACTCTGAACCTGCCTGAATGCTCTGTTGGATTCCTGGATCCTGGATCTGTCCATTCCTGTGAGGATCAGAACCCCTGACCGGACTGCAGACTCCTGCTTCCAGAATTACTCCTGCCTGCTCACTGGGGCTGCTGCATAGGGGACGCTCTGGATGGCTCAGAGCCGCATCTCGTTGACAGTGCATTGGCTTATCCCTCCTATGATTGAGAGGATGGACTGAACTGTTAAACCAGGTAAGTGACTCCCTCTGATATCATCTCCTGTTCAGATGACCGTGGTCACTTACCTGTGTTTCTCTTTAACCAGAGTGTCAGTGATTGAATTGGTGCCCTGCCCCCCTCCTGCTAGCTGCGAGCCGCAGATCCACAGCAGTGGGCATCTGTTCTGTCTGTTTATGTTTTTATTTTAATAAACGTTTTGAACTTTCCTACTGACTGTCTCACCTTGAATACTGGGTCCATCTATCCCATTTTAAGACAGTTTTCTCGCAAGGCAAAATAATCTGTGTTGATCCAGCCATACATCTGCCAAATTTCCTCCACCACTTGTGGGTGCAGAGTCCACTATTCGTACAGGGGGTTTCCCATGACAGGAGATGTGCACCCCTGTTCAAGTATCCCAGTGACTTAAGTTGCCCAGAGAGATAAGAGTCTAGTATTGCTTCACACAATTAGTCTCTGTATTAATCTGTCTGACTGTAGTCAAGACAGTGTTGCCTTTGCAACTGTAAGGGTTTATATTGACTGTATTTATCAAATCACAGACAGATGCTGATAAAAGGGTCTATTTTTCTACTGTTGAAGCGATTATCCTAACTGAAATTTATTATAGAAATGGTCTAAATACGTATTTTCTGATGGGTCGGAGAAAAAGTCAGTTCTCAGTGCTCTCATTGAGTTTCTAGGATCTGGCAACTCCTGAAGCTTTGTCCCACATAACTTCAGCCCTCTCCTATTGGTGGAAAATCCTACAGTGTCATGCTACCATTTTAACCAGAAGTAAATGTTTATATGTTTTGTCAATATTTATATGTTTTTAAACAGTCAGAACTTTAAATAAAAAACTAATTTATACACTGTATTTTCTTTCTGTAAAGCTAATTATTCTGCATTACTCTAGTATATATTACCTATATTATTTTTTGAAAACTATGTTTTGATATAATAATGTTGCAGCTATGGTGTTAAATACCAGATTGGAGCATCTTTGATTGAAATATACAGCCAGTAAAATAAGTATTGAACACACCCACATTCTTTACAGTAAATGTATTTCTAAAGGTGCCATTGATATGACATTTTCACCAAATGTTGATACAACCAAGGCAATCCACACATACAAAGACAAAAATCCATAGATGTCCAGAATTAAGTTATTTGTAACAAAGTGAAATGGCACACAGAAAAAGTATTGAACGTGTTAAGAAACGGAGCTGCAAAAAGGCATTAAAAAACCAAGACACCAGACGAAATCTCTCAGTGATTAGAAAGAAATCAGTCAGTGCAAATTAATATCAGCTGGTTCAGTCCCAAAGGATGGCCTATACAAAGGTGTCTCTGGTATCATATAAAAAACATCTCATGATGGGTAAAAATAAAGAGCTTTCTCAAGATAATGATGGCATTGGTTATAGAAGCATTTCTAAATTTCTGAATGTTACACTGAGCACTTCATAATTCAGAATTTGAAAGAACATAAAACACCATAAAACGAAAACGACTGGCTGCTCCTCACAAGATTTGGGTCAGAGAAGTGCAAAGAAATATCAGAATATTTGTCCAAGTGCCAAAGACCATATGTGGATAGCTTCAGAAAGACCTGGAATTTGCATGTGCAATTATTTCAAAGAAGACAATAAGTAATGCACTCAGCCGTCATGGCCTTTATGCATGCCCACTACGCAAGACTCCATTGCTGAAAAAATAGCATGTGGAAGTTCAATTAAAGTTTGCTGCAAAACAATTAGACAAGCCTGTGAAATAATGGAAGAATATATTCTGGTCAGATGAGACAAAATTTAACTCTTCGGATGTCATGATACAGATCACATTTGGAGGTCAAATAGCACTGCACATCACACCAAAAACACCACACAGACAGTGAAGTTTGGAGGTGGGAACATCATGGTGTGGGGCTGTTTTCTGGAGAAATTCAAATTATTGAAAGAAGGATTAATGGAAAAATGTACTGAGAAATACGTCATAAGAATCTGCTGCAATCTACCAGGATGATGAAGATGAAAGGAGGGTGGTCAGAAATGGTCAAAAAAGTATGATGAATCCATGTAGAACTTTAGCCCTTCCTTGCCATGATGTCTGTAGGGCGTGAGGATGTTGAGGAAGAATGGGCCAAATCCACACCTGAGCAATGCATGCAACTAATTTCCCATACAGGAGGTGTCTTCAACCTGTCAGTGCTAACAAAGGCTTTTGTACAAAGTATTAAATACATTTCAGTAAGTTTGTTCAATGCTTTTTCTCAATGTCATTTTACTTTATTACAAATAAATTAAATTCTGGACATATATTTTCTGATTTATTTGTACGTGATACATGGATTGTTACCAACATTTGGTGAAAAATTCATATCAATAGCACCTCCAGGAATATATTGACTAGAAAAATGATGCCGGGTTCTACACTTATTTTACCCGGTGTACTATGTGGAATGAAGCTAAGTAAGCCTCACCTTTGGATAGGGTCACTAAAATAAAAAAATGTTTTAAATAGTTTATTATTTATTGTTGCATAGTTGTATGTGTGTAACTTCGGCAGCTTTTTTTCCACTCCTTTTATGAGAGTTGTCAGCAGAGACCTCCAACTTTCCAATTCTGAAATATGGCTGCAGGAGGACTTCTGAAAACACTGCCATGCAACGCAAATCAAACTCAAAAGTAACACAGTTTCCTACAAGCTTACAGAGAGGCAAGTTGTTTAACTACGTGGGGTATTTGTGAAACTGATAGGAACAAAACCAAACTCAGAACATCAACAAACCATTTTCTCATACTCTTGCCTGAATTTTTAGTCTCTCAGTCAACAGTATTACATATAGTCTGTTAAACCACAACATCCGTTTTATTTCACACCTTTGAGCACATACCATACACCACTGTCTGTTTCCTGTCAGCAGTTTAACCATGTATTTTGGATGTTCAAGACACATTAAGAGACAGCAAGCTCAAAAACCCTGATGGTTGGCGGAAAAAAAAGTTCTGAAGGAAATATAAGCCAAGACATAATGCTGTTTTGATTCATTT